TACATCCTGTAATTGCATATATCTTTTTAAATCAAATAATGACCAATATACACATACTTTCAGTCACATGGTTTAAATTCACTCACTCCACGTAATTCAATCTGAAAATTCTTGAGAAAAAATAAAATGAAATTGAAAAGGTCACATTATGTAAAACTTCCACAAATGAAACCTCGACCCTAGAGCACATAATGTAATAGCCTGTGTGATCTGGTAAATCACCGCCACTTAATGTGTGCCAACGAGATGACAAGCCGTCAAGTAAACCCCCTCTCGCAGACTGCACTTATAACCTACCGGTATTGTGCACTATAATAATTGACAGAGTAAATAAGCAAACACACTGTTTAATGCTGAACTCTATACATGGCAATCATTTGCCCTGTCGATGTTTTGGCTGATGATTTAATAATAAGTGATCAAATGTTGTTAAATGTTTGGACTGATAATTTAAGCTGTAATAGTAAAGTTTTAGTCATAATAATATGCTGTATGTAGTCTAATTTGAAAATCATTTGTGTGTGTTTCTGAAATCTATTACGAATTTAATTCAAACTTTTGATTCAGCCCAAACTATGCATGTGGGTTTGGTTAAAAGAAAGCATAAATATAAAGCAGTCCAGATAAGATCTGACAATTCCAAAATTGTGTAGGACATCCCCTTCCAAAACTGTGGAGTTCTCAGAACTGAAACAAAAAGCACAGAATACATGGACAAGTAAACATCTGTACTATCCCAGGGACTTGGTGAGCTTCTTGTATGAGGATTTGAGTTGCCCAACCCAACACTTAAACTGAAAACTTATCAAACTTTAACCGGTGGGCATTTCTTAGAAGGCCCTGTACTACTGAAGTACATGTACAATAGNTAAATCCAAAAAGTAAAACTGCCTTCCACTTATCGTGTTTACAAGGAAAGTGCACGGCGACGGCATCGGCATCGGCGACGGCGACGGCGACGACAGACGCAGGTGATGGCAATATGTACAGACACATCTGTGTCTGTACATAAAAAGAAAATGAAAAATTTAAAAATTAATAAATATAACACCATCATCAAATAAATGGCCTCTGGTAGTCAGTATACTCCCCCATATTGTATTATTCAGTGATCTTATCAGAAAAAGGTTTATGAATGTGAAGGTGTACCCCTTAGTGAGCTTAAGCAGATTACCTCTTTGCTGTCCATTTGAAAGAAATGACCCCAGGTAAATGTACATATCAAATTTCAAGGAGATAGTGTAATGCCAATGAAAATTAGATTTCAAATACTGGAGAAAAGATTATCACATTTAACTTTTTTTATGTCAGATAAAGTTTTTAGGAGCAGAGAATAAGCATACACACAGATATTTTCTAAAAGATATCTTAAATTATGAACACTTTTTGAGATTACTGAAATAGACAAATGCAGACACTACAATTTATGAATATATGCTAAATCATATAAAAAAATATGAAAAAATACCAGGCTATCAATAGATAAAGAGAAACCCCTATAACAATGCTCACATTCTTAAGTTCTTAACATATCATTTAATCCTATCATAACCTCAGCACTCTACTTTGCCCTTTTGACTGAGTGGAATTTTTATTAGCGGATTTCTTGACAGCTGTGTCATTGTGTTATCTCATCCCTGTTATTATTTAAATCGAGACAATGGGTGATACTGAGAACACTTTTTTTTTTTTTTTTGTTATCTTATTTCATAATCAAAATCAAAAGGAAGAGATAAAGGAGAGGAAAATGAGATAAAACAAAAAAAGGAAGACAGAAATGGAGGGAAGAAAGAAGGGAAAGAATCAGAAGCAAAGTGAAGGAATAAAGAAAAGAAAAGAAATATAGAGAAAAATTCACTGTTAATAATAACATTTCGCATTAATAAAAAATCAATGGAAACCCTGCATGGACACTTCAGTCAGCCAGATCATTACATTATAAAACAACATGTACCAGGACAGTGAGGACAAAATGCCATGGTGTTGGTATTAAAAAATGAAATAATAATGATGCTTGTTGAAGAGAGATAATTTATTACTTCACACTGTCCTGAAGAGTGAGGAAGTTTCCTTTCCTTCTTCCCACACGGACCACCCAAATTCCGTCTATCTGCTCATATCAGAGACATGATAGCACTCTCTTAGAAATAGCATCTTTCACCTCAAGTGGTTATGGTGGTAACTCACCAATTTCAGACTTCTCAGTTCAAATATTTTAAGTTCCATCACTGTTTGCTCAAAAAACATACTAAGAGGCATTTGCCTAAACTCATTTTTAGACTTGTGAATGCTAGGTTTATGGTTATCATTGATACTTCACTGTGTTGGAATATAATATGTATACAGTAAATAATTTGTTTTGTACAAATTTAGAGGGAAATTACCGTACTGTCAATCAAACCTGGGCCACAGTTTGAATTTCCAACCCTACACATTTCAGCTTTGTACAGGTTTGACCATTCCTTTACCTAAATACCTTTAAAAACAGATGTATCTACTATCAAATTCCGTATTGTAATTGACAAATGATGGGAAAAAAAAGAAAAAAAAAACAACGGAATTTGGCCTCTACCTCCCTACCTCCCCCATACAACATCTGTTAGAATTTCAAGCATCAATTTTCTGACCTTCAAAAATTCTGAAAATGCCAAAATGCCAACCGGAAAAAATCTTAACCCTTACATGAATGTACTTTTTTTTTCTTTATGTACTAGTAATGTTAAGGCTTTGGCTATACAACAAAATAAAGTGTAGACATGAAAAGTACTGGTACTACTTGTACCAGCAGATAAGTTTAGGAGTGTTAGAAAACATTTCAATGTCTGTGTTAAACATTAATCATGGCCCTGATGCACAAGACCTTATTATATATATTTCATGTAAGCGCCCGCAAAACATTTCCTATATATTTGAGTTTAAGAGTATCTGAAAACATTTCAATGTCTGCATAAAACATTAATCATTGCCTGTTGCACAAGATCATATGTTATATAATTCATGCCCCCTCCCCTCTCAACACATTTCTATACACAGACATCAATAATCAATATACTCGTTTCTAAAACTAATCACCTTTCCTATAACTAATACAAATAAATGACTTTCACTTTCTTCACATTCACATACATTCATCTGTTTTTATCTCCTATAACAAAAATCCATTCAGAAAAGGTCCAGTCATAACATTTAATCTATGAACCGAACCAATCATATTTTCAATTGTTCAAAAACACAGAGACAAATAAATTAATTAACTAAATAATTTATCACTTAATCTACATAAAAGGAAAATTCAAATCTTCTAAGAAAACAATGCACTTGCTAAAAATAACATTAAAAACACAGAAAAAAGCAAGTCTCGGTGGTGCTGACATAACAGTAGAAGGGGAAGTATCAGTGGTATAGTGTACCGGGTATGAGTAATCCCTCCCCATGTGTGTGTGTGTATGTTTACCTCCTCCTCCCACACATGGCTATTAATGAGGAGAGGAAGTGAGGTACAAATAGCCGAATCTGTTCTGGTATGAGTTCACACATCAGCAGGAGAGCCGGCTGTGTGGAAGGTCGTGTGGACTGTCTCTCTCTCTTTTTCTTTCTCTCGATCTCTGCTTCATTCACTACAGGTAATGTGGATTTTAGTGGTAAATGTATTCAGTTGGCTGCTTAGTTCAGTTTACCTTAATTTGTCATGCGAATTTTTGTTGATCTGAAACAAATCTGTTGTGGTATGGATTTTTTTCTTTGGTATCAGCTAAAGCTTTATGAACATTGCCTAAATCACAATTTTGTGCAATGAGAATAAGTTTTCTGGTCTCTAAGTGAGTTATGCAGACTCTATTGTTTACTGATTTCATTTTAATGTCTCATTTGTATTTCTATAACTTTGTCCACAAATGGATAAAACGTATTTACTTAAATGTTCTGACTGAATTTTTGAAGTTTTAAGATATTTTTAGAAAAGTTCGGCAATTTATGTATTTCATCAAAGTATATATATAACAGGACTCCAGAGGAAGGTTTTTTGTTGGTTTTTAACTTAATCTGGGTATTTGACATTTACTTAGTACAACTGAAATGGTGAAATGAAAAATTGTGGACAATTATAAATGTAGCAAAAATATATGTAGGAACTTATGGTTATACTGGTATTCATACACATGATTCTTAAGCACTTAGTTAACAGAAGTATTTACAGCTTAATAAAAATGTTTACTGTTAACACCTTGTTAAAGGATAAGCACCTGAGCAGGTATTGACATATTTAATACTGTCAAAATATCACACCTGAGTACTACAGTATACACAGAGATACATGACATAAATATTAATATGGTCTCCTGTAGTTTCTCTGGGACATCAGGGAAAATAAATGTAAGAAAGACGAGACTTCAGAGATAAATTATTATATAATGTGCATGTCTACTTGTTATTACTATATACAGAGGTATTAAAGGATTTTGTACACACTTTCCACAAGTGTCAACTCTTTTCTTGTAAGGTATTTGCAGACGAAGGTGCTTATAAACACCTGAATATTGACTTTGTCTTGTTAAATGTCATTTACGTAACTTAACAGACCCCCAAAGTTATCACTGAGTCTAGACCAAGTCTAGACCTCATTTATTTGTCACTGGCATTTTCCTCCCTGCAGGTGAAGAACAGTAAGAGGTATTGTTTCAATTTCAGACAATTAAGATTTGCAATTCATATTCTGTTATCTCATTTCAATGATTTTAACATCTTGTCTGATCTTTTTTTATGTGGTAAATACTGTTCCTGCTCATAAATGAAAATTATCAAACACAAGCTGAAAATATCTCATACCATTAGCTTGCTAAGTACTGCTAGCCTGGTAAGCTGATGACATGAAAGATTTTCAGCTTGTGTTTGATAATTTTCATTTATGATCCAACTACCAAGCTAATGAACATTTTTGCTCAAACTGTTTCAGCTGTAGGACGTGAAAAATAACTTTTGTGAATTATCTTTTATTTCTCCAGAAAATGGAGTCATCTTCCATGCTGCTGACTGTGCTGTGTAGTGTGGTGGCACTGGGACTGTACTCACAGTATACTGAGGCCTGCTCCTGTATGCCCCTCCATCCACAGATGCACTTCTGCCAGGCTGACTTTGGTAAGTGGAACCCTACTCTCTGCACGAGTACGTATGTGCATGTGCATGTGTGTGTGAGTATGTGTGTGTATGCATATGTGTGTGTGTGTGTGCGTGTGTGTGTGTGTGTGTGTGTGTGTGGAAGAGAGAGAGAGAGAGAGAGAGAGAGAAAGGAGGTGTTTAGGAGAGAAAAGGGGATGCACTTTGACCAGGGATGTAGGTTTTAAATTAGTGAACAGAGATCGGAAAGAAAAAGGGCAACTAACTTACATGCATCTCATGGACAAAATCATACAAAAAATCTTAATATAAAGACAAATCAGCTTGACAAGCCCCACCATATTTAACTTTAAGAAAGGGACTTTTCTACAATAATGTTATCTTTAAATACAACTGAATGACTATGCATTTTTAAAATGACAGGAATGGAATAACTGTATGAATGAATGATTCACAACTGGTTTCACAACCTGCTCCTGTGATACAGTGTAGTAATAATGAAATGTGAATCATCTCAGCTATGCCTGGCGGTTCACAGGCAGCATCAACATCCTGTGAACATTAAGACTTCTGTTCAACATTCGTTGCACCTATTTCATATACAACCAATTGTTCTTTCAATTCAGTGAAATAAATGATCATTTTACAGTGTGAGTCATACATCCTGTAATTGCATATATCTTTTTAAATCAAATAATGACCAATATACATGTACTTTCAGTCACATGTATTAAATTCACTCACTCCACGTAATTCAATCTGAAAATTCTTGAGAAAAAATTAAATGAAATTGAAAAGGTCACATTATGTAAAACTTCCACAAATGAAACCTCGACCCTAGAGCACATAATGTAATAGCCTGTGTGATCTGGTAAATCACCGCCACTTAGTGTGTGCCAACGAGATGACAAGCCGTCAAGTAAACTCCCTCTCGCAGACTGCACTTATAACCTATTGTGCACTATTATAATTGACAGAGTAAACAGGCAAACACACTGTTTAATGCTGAACTCTATACATGGCAATCATTTGCCCTGCCGATATTTTGGATGATGGTTTATAATAAGTGATCGAATGTTGTTAAATGTTTGGACTGATAATTTAAGCTGTTATAGTAAAGTTTTAGTCATAATAATATGCTGTATGTAGTCTAATTTGAAAATCATTTGTGTGTGTTTCTGAAATCTATTACGAATTTAATTCAAACTTTTGATTCAGCCCAAACTATGCATGTGGGTTTGGTTAAAAGAAAGCATAAATATAAAGCAGTCCAGATAAGATCTGACAATTCCAAAATTGTGTAGGACATCCCCTTCCACAACTGTGGAGTTCTCAGAACTGAAACAAAAAGCACAGAATACATGGACAAGTAAACATCTGTACTATCCCAGGGACTTGGTGAGCTTCTTGTATGAGGATTTGAGTTGCCCAACCCAACACTTAAACTGAAAACTTATCAAACTTTAACCGGTGGGCATTTCTTAGAAGGCCCTGTACTACTGAAGTACATGTACAATACTGATGGCAATGTAAACATTATTGAACTAATACACTTGAACTGGACAATGACATCAATTAATTGGATAATAAGAAGTTGGTTGTTAATCTATTGTTAAAAGGTGTGGAAGTCACACTCCCATGTCTATTGTCAGGTGTCTATAAAAGGATGACTACAACCACATTTGTATTCAGTCCATTCAGGGTCGCTGTATTGTGCAATATGAAACTTTTAAAATATTTTCTATAAAGTTACTAGAAGAAGCTTTGATTACAATACCCCTGGGCCTATCCTCCTGACTCAACACCCCACCACCACCGATCCCATTCAAATCATTAACTAAAAAGACAACTACCATGCCTATTGAAAACATCTAGCTACCACATATTGTTACATCACCTGTGTTTTACACCCTGCCTTTGACTCATCCCCCTCTCAATTGTTACCCTAGGGTGAGTGATAATGGGGGCGGGTTGGGGGTGGGGTGACTTATTTATTAGGCAATTGAAATTCAGATGGATGACTTATTGACAAACAACTGAGCATTGAAATTTGACCACTTGCCCTGAATATAGGGTTTTATACTTGTACTTGGCTTACAGCCCCTCCCCCACATGAGCGGCAGAAGTTTTAAGAGCTGATAATCATTCTCTGTGGACATGTACAGGATGGGCTTGTAAAAAAAAAATCAAAAATAAATTTATATTGATTAATTCTGAAGTAGGCACTTTGATTGCCATTCTTAGCAATGAAAGTTGTCTATATAATTCTATTGTGAAGTGATCTGCCCTATAACTGCTCACCATGCTAACTGCTTATCTACAGTAGGGGCTTACACATGCATGGACAAAGTTAAGAGCTAGCAAGAAGAGGAGAGGGGTCGGGGGGGGGGGGGGTTCATAGAGGGGATGGGGGGCCAAGGACAATCAAGCAATTATTTCCTAATGTTGAAACTAAAAAATTCTCTATTGAAAAAATACTGTGCATGGGCTTTTGTATACACTCCCAGTCCAGTACAAAAGTGATGGTTGTGGTGTCGTAAAAGTTTGTTTTGATCTAGGACGTCAAACCATATCCCAGTAGTGGTTTTTAAATGGAAATACAAGACCACTATACAACAAGATATAACTTCCTGCAATTAATTATATCTGTCCCACAATGAAATGAAATGTTATTAATCTGTAATTGGATACCAGACAAAACATTTAAATAGTGACCTAACCTGCCTGCACTGAGTGACTCATAGAGACCTTTCCAAAATGATCTGTTCAGAATAAAATATATAAGTACTAGTAGTATGGCACAGTAAAATTCTGTTCATTTGGGGTTTTTTTCACATTAGAGACCTAGGTGTTGCTTGACTTGTGACAGTTTGTTAATGCTATTCCTTTTTACTGCCAGATCGCTTTTATAATACAATGACGTTAAATACTTGTGCCATTCAAGAAATCTTAAAATAAAACTTTGTGCTTCCTTTTCTAAATGAGCCATGGGATTAGTTAAATTAACCGTAACTTTGGTTTTCTGTCACGTCATAATTATGTTTTTAACTTCTTGCTAAGTGTAATAAGAGAACTGAATTACCTCTTTGTAAAATGAACCTAAAGTCAGATTTGAAAAGAAAACCTTTGATGGAAATGTAGGGGTGAACGACATCCAGTATAAATGGGACTCATTTCTTTTGAAGTTGATACACTCTCATGCAAGTACTAGTTGATTTTTTAACAAGGGGAAAATTGCAAGTTAAAACAACAACACTTAACAGGCCCGTAGCCAGCAATTTCAAAAGGGGGGTTCGTTTTCTGAAAAAGTGGACCTTTTTCCATAAAAACATCATGTACCTAGATCAAATTTTACCCAGAGTGGACCTTTTCCCAGCAAAAGGGGCGGTTCTTTCGAACCCCCCGAACCCCCCCTGGCTACGGGCCTGCTTAAATTTCCTTAAAATTTGCTGCTGTGGGTGCTATAAAAAAAAAAAAAAAAAACTTGTTAAAATATTCTCCATCAGATCATCATTGATAAATTCACTCAGTAAACAAATCCCTTCAACTGTAAAATCACTTAATTTGCAACATGACTTGACAGAAAAGGTGAATTTTAAGCAAGTGCAGTTTGTATGTGCCCCTTCATAACAAGGATCCAACTGAACAAATCACTTTTTCTCTGTCACTAGTGATCTGCTCATTACCAGGCATGATTTAGCAGAAATACCCAGCAAGAGGGCCCCCATCCCTATCTGGACTTACTCTAGCATATAATTTGTGGTCGACGATAAGCTCAGTGAATGTTAGTAAGTCATCATTTTGACAAATCAATGTCAAAAAGGAAATGAATGATGTAGTACCAGGGATAAGACAAGTCCTCACTAAAAAAGTAGGAAAATTGGCCAGGGGTCCAGGGTACACAGGGGTCACAATGACCAAAATGACCCTGAAAAAGTTGGAATTCTGATAAAAGTTGGAAAAGTCTCATCAGTGAGTACTTTCATTTTCTCTTTCAAACATTCTTTTGGATCCTTTTTTTAATGGCATACCGATGTGACCCTAAAGTCACCCAACCTCACCTCAGACCCAACTCTAACTGACCACTGCTGTGGTCATCCTGTGGTCACTGATGTGGTCAAATAATTAAGACATGGTTATAGTGGTCACGCTGTCCTACCAGTAGATAAATATTTGGCCATGGTGGTGATTCAGAAGATGACTTTGCAGTACTTCATGTTATTAAATTAGTCATAAATGATCAAGGATAGAGGGAAACAATATTCAATTCATACCTGTTAACTTTGACACAGACCATGTCATTTGCCTATGGTAAAATACATGCAATTCTTAAGAATTTGTTATCTGTGGCACAGCCATGTAAGTCTTTAGGGAAGATAATTTATCTTCTTCTTAATCTTAATCTTCTAACATTTTGCAAACTGAAATCAATACAGCCTGCTGCATGTTAAGTAACTCATAGGTCCAGACTTTTCTTGTTGAAATTTCTTGACTGGTTCTTGGTTAATTCCACTACATTGTACAGAGGGTAGGGAATACCCCTTGTTAAGCACCAATCACCAAGAATTAAAACTGTTTCAGCTCAATCACCAATAGCAAAGATATATTCAGGTCAGTCACCAATCACCAATAATTCCTAAATCAAGTCTCACGCAGAATATTGGGCTCAAATAACGCATCAAGCTCGAGAAATAAGGCCAATCACGCGGAACGGAACGGAAGGCAAAAGGTATTCCCTACATAGTTTACCTATACTGACAGTGGAGTGGCAATACCCTGTCAATTTAACACAAACCATGGGGGCAGTATATACACAATACATGCCAAAATTCCAGAGGGCAAACCTGTAGCACTGATGTTCATGGACTTGACACTTCTGTTTGGAAAATGGAACAGCCAACAAGTTTGCATTGTTGTTTTTGTTTGAAAAAACAAAAATAAAATTTTGCTGCAATTTTGGCATTCCTTTTTTTATGCTTTTTTTTTTTTTGGGGGGGGGAGGGGGAGTTTAAAAGATCTTCCCTTTTGAATGAAAGGGGTCCATACTGAGTGAAAATTTGATCTAGGTTCTCTAGTTGGGTCAACCAGGGAGACATAAAGGTCCACTTTTTCAGAAAAATAACCCCCTTTGAAATTGCTAGCTACAGGCCTGGAGATTCTTGTTACAAGACACAGGTCAACCCTGTCCACAGACTATCTTCAAAGCATAATCATCAAAGCCTTCACAAATTACACTAACACACCTCCACCAAATAGTACAAATATTGAAATAACACCAACTTCAAAATCCCCACAGTTAGCAGAATAACAAAAACAATTCTAACACAAATACAAATTTGTTAGATTTTTTTTTATCTGAAGGGCATTCCTGGGCATGGACTGTCTACCCTGTGTATCAAGATGTTCAGTGACTTTCCCATTTCTTCAAGGTGACTGTGTTACAAAATGAACTTTCAAATGTTTAAAAGCCAAGCTATTTCAGTTTTTAATGGACTTCACATCAACATATTTCTGCTTTTTTAATTATTTGTTTTTTATTGTTTCTGCTCGATTTCTTCAAAATAATGACAGAATGCTTAATTATAAATATTTTGGTGATTTAATCAACAGCTCCTGGTTTCAAATCCCCATTCCACTAAGTTTTCACAAAGAACTAAGAGTACCGGTAGTATCACTATATCACTGTGATACCCAATCAATCATAATCAGTAACAACCTCACCACTGATCATAAACAAATTTGGTCCATCAAGAAGACGAAAAAATAAAATTGATATTAACAGTCTAATATGCATTAAAAGACCATGGAGGAAAAGTCAAAATCATAGAGGGATACCCAGGGTGTATCAGGGCAATGCCAAACAGGAGTGACAAGTACTGTACAGAAGCATGTCCCCCACTGCCTTATTAGCAGGTGGTTAAATTAACTGCTAACAAGGTAATTCATCAGTGACAGGGGTTCAAGCCGGGACTCGGGGTGTAAGATCAATAAAGAAGGCAGGGGGGAGAGGTGGGGGATACTATGCACCACTTGTGGATGTATGTTTTGGAGATTTGTTAATCAATCTAGCTGCGCTTTGATGCTGCAGCCAGCATCTTTGCAAGGGGCTTTGGTACGCGTGTTTTTAAGAGCAGTGTTAATTAATACAGCTGCTCAGATGCTAAAGCAGAAAACAGTCTTGTCAAGGATGAAACTAGGGTTATGCTGGTGCTTAGATGCATGTTTTAGAGTTTTGCTGATTAACTTGAAAGCTTTGATGCTGAATTGGAGGCTGGTCTTGCAAGGACAAAGCTGATCTTGTTGATGCATGTTTTGGAGTTTTTCTAAATGAACTCAGCTGCAAGGATGCTGCAGCCAACATCTTCACAAAAGGCCTCAGAGTTTGTCTGTATGGTGTGGTGCTTTGTTAATTATTCACTTACTTTGATGCCTAGGCAAGATTCTGCAACATCTCTGCAAGGGGGCTAAGAAAGATTCCCTTGGGGGAATTTTTTCATTAAGACAGCTGTCAATTAAAGGAAAAAAATTCCAAATATTGTAAAAACAAGGCAAAATATATTTGAAATACATTTATTTGAACCTTTGGGTTTGCTCAAGGATATATATTCTATTCACACTCTTGATATACTACTGGGTTATTTACTATTTATTATCTTGAGAAAGAGAGAGAGAGAAAGAGATGCTGACCAAGAAAACAAGACAGCTGCCTGTCAAATATAGCTGGATCTCTAAAAATAGATTGGAACAAAAGACACATCCATTGAAGTTTTTTTCCTCTAAAAGACCACCTAATGCTATTATGCAACTTTTTGGAATTCCTACAATTCCTGGCCATAAAGCAAATGTCAGTTAACTTTGGAAAACTGACAGCACAGCGAAAAGACCCCATTCAGCAATTTAACATGTTTTCCATTTAGAAAATGATCAGTATTCAACCTTTCTTTAGGAGAAAGTATGTATCACTGACATGAAACATGTAAGAAATATTTAGACATGGATATTTGAAAATTCATTTAGTTGAAGTCCTACATGTAAATAAACAATTAAAGACAAATTATTATTTAATTAACATCCTGTCATCCTCTCTCTCTCTCTCACACACACACACACACACACACACACACAAACACACACACATAGAGAGAGAGAGAGAGAGAGAGAGAGAGAGAGAGAGAGAGAGAGAGAGAGAGAGAGAGAGAGAGGCAGGCATGCCATTTTAATTTAAAGGGAGCAGTTTTTGCTCAATAACAACTACAAAACATTAACTTTGTATTAAACCAGAAGAGGTTTTAAACAGTCTCCACCCAAATGATAATGTAGTGTTCAGACATGTCAAGGGAAGATTGCTACAAGTACATGGATAATTCCAGCCCATAAGTCTAGCCACAAGACCAAATCACGAAGTGCACATTGTTTCTTTTTTTTTAAATGTAATCTGGTATACTGTGCATGTTTATCAGATGGATATGGTAATACATGGTTTTACATGTGCATGTATTATTTTTAAGGAAAGTGGTGTTTCATAACATGGTGTTCTAATGACGAAAGTTGGACTAATTTACAGTCTAAACCTCTCCTGTCTGAACACCGGTCCATTCTGAACACAGCTTCATGCCAGACCAATAAAAAAAGAGAAGATCTCAATTCACCAGTGTCTATGTATGATGAAACACACTGCCCAGCTTTATGTTACTTAGTTGTAAAGAATCTTTGATAACCACATTTTTGACCCAGTACAGAATGCCAGCTGTTGAAACACAGTTACACCTTAAACAAAACACAACTACATGCCAAGATCTAAACTACGGGGTTCAACCGGTGCAAAGTTGGAGTTCAAAAGGCAGTGAGTTGGATACATTTAGTATTGTGTGTGTTTGTATGTGTGTGTATGTGTATATGTGTGTGTAAGCGCGTGCCTGTGTGTGTGTGTGTGTGTGTGTGTGTGTGTGTGTGTGTGTTAAAGAGAGGGAGGAAGAGAGAAAGCCGATTGCCCTTCTAATGAACTCCCTCAGTGCCTAATGTGTGTGTGTGTGTGTGAGAGAGAGAGAGAGAGAAGGAGAGTGGAGAGGGTGGGAGAGAAAAAGATAACCTTTTGCTCTGTATGTCTGCTCCCTCCTCCCAAGCAAACTTCACATATTTTTTATTATTCATTTATTTTTACTTCTTCATTTTTTTAAAATGATTTTTTATTATTTTGAGTTTAGATAATGCTCCTGTCCAGAAATACATACATATAAAAACTTAAAATGGGGAGATCCTGACTTTAAATTTAGAAAAGTGTCAGTTTGCCCTTACCGAGTGCCTTCCATTAAATTGTTAATTCACATAAAATCTGCAGGGTGGAGCTACAATTCGTACTAATATCTCTACAAAAAAACAAGTGCAAATATCTCAATTAGGGAGCAATAAAAGCCCTTTGTTTAAAAGAAACACAAAGATAATGAGCAATAACTTTCCAGCTGACCACACCCCCTTCAATACACACACGTGATATCTCTCAAGTGGTACAAGCACTCCCATAATGGATCTCACAGTAAATATTAGTGTTCTTATACTACAGAGACAAGACACTGGGCACTAAATTCTCTGAGCAATGAGTACAGAAAGGTGGGGGTGAATAGGATGGGCTGGAAAAATTGAAACTTTATACTCTGCAGTTCTTTTTCAGTGTAAGCACTCTTTTTTTTCCTCGCTTCTTCAATGTACTTGATATACATTAAAACTATTGTTTAATCCTGTAGTCTGATCAGTTATCTTTTAAACATCCCTGAAGGCTGCAGCAAGTGAGTGCTGTTTTGTAAGGGATTTTTTTTTACTGTCCATGTTAAGGCACAAGTCATGATTTTAGCAACATGAATGAGTACTGTACAATAAAAACACTGGCTGAGAGGAGAAGGGTTCACATCAAAGCTCAAACCTTGCTTATTTTACCCAAGTGGTTGTGCATGCATGTGGGGGTATATGTGCATTTGCATGAGCATACATGTTTGCATTCATATGAGTATGCAAGGTATAGTTTTTCTATAGTTTGAAGGTCAAGGATAGATGGATAATGAGAACTGCAAATCTTAGACTAGAAAAATTGTTAGAAATATTTTCTGGGAAAGAAAAAAAGTTTCTGACCAAAGAGAGAAAAATCATAACTCATTTTATCAAATAATCTCCATTTATCTCCATCTCCATTTAGAATGTGACTGAAATCTCTACATAAGGGAGTGACTGTATTCATTTAATAAGTGTTGTATAGACAGATATAATACCTTATTATGTTATTTGCAGTTATGAGTACTTATCAAGTTGAGAGTAATTAAATAAAATGCTGCACAGAAAACATGCCTGTATTTTAATTAAATGGACATATATTACAACTTTTATGTTATTTCCAGTAATGAGAGCCAAGGTGAAGGGGAGTGAAATCCTGTACAGAAAATCAATCATCATGGAGAACGGCAAGAATGTTACATGGAGACGGGCATACCAGAAAGTGTACCATATTCGGATAAATAGAATTTTCAAGGTAAAATGAGCTTAGCCATCTAGTTTTAATTTACTTTGTTATTTGAAATATACTCTTAATTACATTTACATTGGTTTTAAATTTACTCAAATTAACTTGTTCTGGCTCAAGTAGATATATAAATGATATATGGAGACAGTCAAATTTTCCCATCTACTCACTATGTTTGTTAAAAAGGAGTCTATTTTTCCTTTATTTTAGCAAAATGATAAGTTTAAGAACGCCACCCTCCACAAGAACAAGATCTACACCAACCCCAGTGATGCCATGTGTGGTGTGCACCTTGAAAACAATACCAAGTATCTCCTAACAGGTGAGTGAGTACAGGTGGATATCCCTCTCTCACACCCAGGGGTACATTTACCTGAACACTTGAGAGATTGACAACTTATTAACCTGGTTATAACATAAGTGAATCATCCGAACAGAGCTCAGCACTCAACATGGCCAATTAATAGGAAGCAACTTGTGGAGACTTAGTGAAAGGCAATAAAATTATATGCCTGGTTATAACATAAGAGAATCACTTGAACAGAGCTCAGCACTCAACATAGCCAATTAATAAGAAGCAATTGGGAGAGAATTTGTGAAAGGCAGTAAAACTCCCTGAAGTGAAAGAACTTGTCAATGACCTGTCAAATTGGACCAGTCTAGTTATAAGAGCACTGCTCAATGTGAAAAGTACCCCCCCCCCTTAACTTCCAGTCTCCTCCATTGCATCAGGTGATCTCAACTGAGGCATTAAGCTTCTCCACTATGTGCTACCTTTCAATTCTCAACTGTAGCAATGACAGCAATAATCTAGTTAGATAATCAGGACAGTGACATCAAGCAGTGGCAAATAAACCCACAACTTTGTGGCAATCTTGGTTCAGACTACAGCTCAAAGTATCAGCATCACAACCAGTTTCTTGCATCATTTATGTTATTGGGTAACTACGTAACCACATCTGTACAATACACTTGAGGTTCTTGCATTGAATTATGTGCCAACCTAGCTGACAATTAACAACAGGAAATATCAGATGAACTGAAGATGTAATGAGAAGTGCATTGAAAACATTGCTTGGTTTTCTGTCATCAACGATATGGTATTTTAGAATATTTTAGTTTCAGACAATTCTCTCTCTCTTTCTCTTAAATCCTGAATTTTGTAACAATTACAATAATAATAATAATAATAAAAAGAAAATAAACAAGTAAATATCAACCAAATCTTTCAAATAACTATGTACATTTCATTCTCCCACAGGATACATGCACGACGGCCGTGCACACATCAGTGTTTGTGGTTGGGTGGGCGAGTGGACACGAATCCCACAAAAGCAGAGGAAAGGAGTCAGCCATCTTTACAAAAAGAACTGCCAGTGCAAGGTAATAGAGATCTGCATTTACAATCCATTCCTGTACACAATATTGTGATATCAGGCATAATGAATTACCAAACTATTGTCTGTTGATAACACAGTGATTGTGCAAAAATGCAGTATGTTCAAGTAACACAATCTATTCATAAAAGCGGGGCAGCATTATAAAAATTAACCAGTTAAGTGGTTAAGAAGTGTTAGTTTTGGTAACGTCCTATTCTTTCTGAGCTCAACTGTACTTATTCCTTGTTAAACTCTTAATTTTTTGTGGTACCATATTACATGTGTCAAAGCATTCCACTTTAACTTTTTAAGACTGCATAGAAATCAATCTTTAACTTCTGGATTATTATGTTTTTCTGTAGGTTGAGACATGTATACGCCGTGGAGACGGAGTATGTCCATCTGATAACTCCACCTGTGTTTGGCGTTGGCATGACAGCCACAACAGTTGCTATGCAACCAGCTCTGTCTGTGAGCAGAGAGCAGACGGCAACTGCAAATGGAGCTCTGGCAAACTTCTGAAGGAATGTAAAGAGAAGAACAGGAAGAGAGCACGACAGGAACCATAAAAACTGATATTGTGGGAACATAACCAAGATGGCGGCAGCAAAATGATCTTATCACATAGATATGATCAGTGGAAAACAACATCTGATGTAGAAACAAGCAAAGCGAGCATCAGAAAATACAACTGGTAGATACATTGTATTTTAAAGAAGGCAGATCTTTATTTTTCAAAATTGAAAAATGATATTAATGTAAAGAGAAATAAAATTATTTTGATGCCAGTTTTCTTAAACCAACAAAGAGCCACCACATTTTTGTGCAAACATACTGGGAGAAAGCTAGGACAACCAGAGACAATAGTGAAGGCCCTTTGAATGTACTTCAAGTGATGTCCTGAAGACAGCTGTGGTTTGGGAATAGTAACTTTAAGGCAAAGAAAATTGATCTTTGACTGTCCTGCCTCCATCATGTAAATACTGGCACAAATGGATGTGCAGAACGTATTATAACCATAATCAATTGGACCAGCACATGTGATGGCTGTGCATGTATATACGAATTACAGCATGCAGCCATGCATTATTTAATACATTCAGAAGTGCTTGAAGCAGAAACTGTTTAGAGGATTAACCGCATTTTAAGTGTGGTGTTTAGAAGAATTATCTCAAAAATAGTTTTAATTTTTCGCTTCAAGAATTAGAGGCTTGATTGCAACGCCCTAAATTCCTACTTCACAATCCTGTAGATTTTCTTCATTTTGGCAGTGATTACAATTGCATGTTTGTGGGAGTACAGGTGATGGATTGCAATTAAGAGTTTACTTCCTGAAGTAAACACGTAGAGAAGATTTTAGATTTGATATGTTCTTGAAACTGCTTTAAGGCATTGTTCAGTGTCGTCTTTGTGTACGTAGAGTATATGACTATATTTGTCTCTGTAAGTGACAGGGTGCACATTTACAACAATGTCTGTTCTTTGGTGCCCAAAACAACCAATTTTTTTTTGAGGTAATTAAAGAAACAGCAGCCAATGACTGTAAAATTGCTTATGTCTGTAAAGGAGTCATATACTTGTAGTTGTAAAAAAAGTATTGTTTTAATTTTGAGATTGCTCGATTGCAAGTGATGTGATGAAAGGTTATCAGTATGACAAATGAAGAGGTCTATAAATTTATGAGAGATACAGGAAAATATTTCTGGTGTGAATGCACATCTCTGATCCTGACAATCTTTTCTATATATTTCAGTTAAAGCACACAAAAATATTAAAACATTCAGGTTATTATAATGTGCCTATTTATAATTATAATTATTATATAGAAATTGAACATTATCTTACCGTCAGCAATGTATATATTTAAAACAAATCACAAAAGGGCAATGCTGATTAAATGACGGTACTGAAAATATTTCAAATATTTCCAACAGATAAAATAAGTTTAAAAAACAAATTTATCAGAAACAAATATATCTCAACTCTTCATCTGAAACTAAAATCAGAATATTGCCAGTATTTCTGCTTTGCAGTGCCACCATTTCCTGTGAACTTATCATTTATTGTTATGTCAACATGACTAAAAATGGTTTACTTTTTTTGCATTGTGTGTTAAGAGTAAATGAGGTTTATAATTATCTTGAAAGTGTCTAGAAAGAGGGTGTGATAAATGGCATGATAAGTATGACTGTGTACATAATTTAACACTATTTCACTATTTTTCTATAAATAAAACTGCTTGAAAACTGGAAATTCGTCTGTCTTTTGAAAGTAACAATACATATATAATAGAAAACTTTAATGTAATAAATGTTTTGTCTTTTATTTAGTTTGATTACAAAAGGATAAGACCTTCCAACTCTCAGCAATGTGGATATATCTTTGAGTAGAATTTATATAATTTAGTAAATGAACTAGTTAAATACCTTTTTTCCTGGAAACATGAAACCACATAAAGACCAAATTTGCCCCTTCCAACGGTAAATCAATAGAGCTCTAAACGAAATACTAGAATTGGTAAGATGCTCCCAGAAAAGACACTTAAGAGTTGATTAAGAATCTGTGAAAAACACTTACTCCTCAAAAAGGGCAATATGCCTCAGCAGTTAGTGGTGAAATCTATGATTATTGATTTTCAAACCCAACTTCCATGATGGAAAAATAAAAAAAAACATCAATAAGCTCTTGGAAAATCTCAGGAAATCCTGCTTTAAATTTTAAAGTCTATTTCATAAAAACCAAAATCTTATACTAAATTAAGCCTTTAAAAAAAGCAAAAGTGCTAGCAACGACATTTTATAGGTATCCCAGACATCACAACTGTTTCTATAATGGGACACGGAATGTTACATCAATTTCAAATTTTAAAAATGCCTGTCTTATGAATTGACATTAGTCTTAGGATCTTGGCCCAGACAGCTTAACATACATGGCCAACAGTACATGTAACAGCCTAAGACCATTTCACAAATAATTGGTCCAGAAAAAGTCAGCCTGCACTGAGACGTTTAAATGTTTTAAAATCAGCCCTTATCACCACTGGTAGTCAAAACAGAGTAGCACAAAATAATAAAGTTGTCTTTTATAAAATTTCCAATTAGGAAGGGAGCTTAAACACTGCTAATCAAGTCCTTTCTAATACGACCCTGAAACTACAATTATATATCAAAAAGTCATTAATGACTAGTTTGTATGCAGATTGAGAAGACCATCCCTGGTTACAAGGACTGAAGCTGGGCAGAAGTGGGCACATTTATATGATAACGACTGCCAGATCACTCTCACTGACTGCATGCATGGTGATGTCACTCACACTGGATCGGATACGGTTTCAATATCAGCTGATTGCTACAACCCCATCATAGCTTCAGAATTAGTGTGAATGGGCCCAATGATTTTTTTATTTTGGTACAAAAATATCTCACCCAGACATTACACCATAACACATTTAGATATGCCATCTAATGGGTTATGGTCTGAATCCAAATCAATACCCTAATCTTCTATTTTTTTTTCTAGTGGTGCTATAAATACATATACAGCATCATCAAACTCTACTTTACCAGAATCAAAACTGATAAACGCTTGGGTTGTTTGACGTATATCAGGAAATTATACATAAATTGCGATGAAAGTTGGAGTGAAATATGGGATAGTTATGAGATGGATTCTGTGAGCCTAACGTGAATGAGAGTGGGGCCTGTTTACACTGGCACAAATTAGACAGATAGTGTTGCATTTTACGTGTCTTCTTCTGATTAAATACTGCTCACATACATATTTCCTTTCAAACTTCTGGACATTTCAAAGAGTTTTGTTTCACAATATGATATGCTGCCTATAGACTTGCTGTGCATTTGCCCTATGTACACCTACATTTGTGGCTAAATCATTGCCACAGTGTAACTTTACTCAAGCCCAGAGTACAATTCAGGACAAGTGAACCCTGTATATCAGCAGTCAGTATACAGTGTAAAATGATCAATTACCAGATAATATGGTTGGTTTGCACCATTCAATTATAGATACTTGATTTAATTCCAGGAACCTGCTAGTGATTTCTATTAAACATCATATTGCATGTGCCATGTCATTTTGTCTAGATTTTAGGCATTTGTGCATGATAACAGAAAGTATGTTGTAATAATCCAATTTCGAGGCAGAAAAAATCAGTTATTAATGACTTTCTATGTGCAGTTAATGATTCATTAAGGTTCTCGTAGTCGAGCATCATTGCAAATAGTCATGTTGTAAAAGAGCTATCAATGCTTGCTCCATTTTCTCAAAAAAATAAAAAAAAAAAGCAGAAGCTTAGCAGCACTCAGCAAATACTGTATATTCTTTGCATCCTTGGTAAACTTTTATTTTTAGTACATTGTGCGACTGGTGCTATTTAAAAGATAACAACAGGTCATAAAAGTCACCTGAAATAGATATTCCCATTTAATAAGATTGAAGTTATCACAGCTTGTTATAATGATTAGTATAAAATAAACATTACCTCTCTGGTTTGACTATCTACAGCAACTTGGAAGGGGAAAATGGTACCAGACTGTACCAGGAAAAGAATACAAACAAGATGAAGAAAATAGAGAAAAATGTGTCTATTTAAAATATGTGTCATGAAGCAAGACTTCTATAAAACTGCCATATGGTTCTTATATGTCAGTTTTATAAAGCACTGGTAACAGACAAATTTTGATAAACAGAGGCAAAAATTTTGTTATTTTTCAGCTTAATAAAACCAGCATAAGAAGCACTTATCAAAATAAAATATAATTTAATTGGTCCATTTTGGTACTAAGGAATATAATTTTTATCATCTGATCACATAAACTGAATGTTTTTTGGCTGATGTGATTTGCAAACAAAGATTTGCGGTTTATATATGTTTTACATGAAACTTCATAGCAGCAATATTTACTAACCACAAGGCCTAACTTTGTATCAATAAATTGTCGCCAGAATTTCCTGCATTTGCATTATTTGCTTCATGACAAATACATCATGTTATTAAGTCCTGCAACTGAACTCACACATAAAGCTACACATATGAATGTGCTGTCTAGCTAAGACCCTTTTCACAAGAAGCGGTACAGTTTTTCTGTTCCACTCCAGTTAAGCAGACTAGGAACTTAATATGGCTTGTTTATCTCATAAAAGAGTCGACTGAGGGAAGCCCTTTAACTTGACTGAGTTGATTCACAGAATAAATTTCGATAGGCACTGTTACTATACATTGCGTTGTACAAGGAACCATCACCCTCCCTACCCTTGTTAAAACTGAACTACCAATCAACGTGAAAAGGGTCTAAAGGTCTGTTCTAACAAATGCCTGGATATTGGAAAAAATAGTGCCATCAGACCACCTTTCAATAATTTTAACCTTTCAAAGACAATGGGAATAAAGGTCTCCTATGTTCATACCTTGATAAGCATTCTTGTTCCTCACCTAATAAATGTCAACATTTTCAGAATCACTGGCTAAAAGAATAGTGATTCAGAAAAGAAACCACAAAATTCAAGTAAAAAAAAATAAATTCTCAAGACAGCACATTCACACAACATAAACCACGGAGAGACTGTCTCCACTACAATAGCCACCTTCTCCAAATAATGAAAAAAAATCTTAGCAATAAGTTGGAAAACCGTTTTCAAGAAAAGGATGAATTGACATTGGAGGACAATAGTTGTGGATAACATTTTAGGCTATAAACATAATAATTTTGATATTTGGGCCTTCTCTTATTCTGATATTGGACTTGGGGAATTCTGATGTTCAAAAAGTGTAAAGAAAGGCACTAGTTACTGAAGGTCCATCTTTTATTTGAACATGGTATTCATTTTAAGCAAGCACATCTGATTTTTTCATCATATCTGTAGCTGTCTAAAATCAATGCTATATAGTATTTGCTGGGTGTAGTACTATAGCAATATTGATTACACCCCATCTCAGCATAACAGAACCTATAACTAAGATTTCTCTTGGGAAACAGGAAAAGAAATTGCTAGGAACATAACAGTCATCGACCAGAATACCTTTTTTTATCTTCATTTATTCAACTATTCAGAGAACTAAAAGTTTCTTTGCCATTGTTCCCCTGTAATTTGCACTGCATGCCGAGATGGATTTTTCTTTTGAATTTATCAGTTAATGTTTACAAATCCTAGAAAGAAACCCACTGTCCAGGAATTATAACATACAATTTGAACATTCATTTTATCAAAAATAAACAAGGTAATAGAAGCTTTAAAAGCTGTATATCTATCATGAATTACGTATTTCTCATGACGATTATTATTTCATTATAGCACCTGAAGTCGGGGGATCTGTAGTGTTGTGGACTAATCTGGAGACTTCATGAGCTGATGTCCCTTAAAAATCAAGTTTAGCTCCAAGCCTGTGGGCCTCAGGCAAATGTTCTGTGATTAAATAAATAATTCAAATAATTAAGAACCTCAATATTTTCTTGTTTCTGACTTGACAAATTGTCCCCTTGTATCACGAACTACTGAAATATAAGTTTTTACTAACCAAGTCCCCCAAGGAATGTACCTGTAGAATTCTTGGTTAATTCAAAAAGACATACATGCACAACAGAAACTGGAGAAAATACCATTTTTACTTTACCAAGGTCAATATCTCTGCCTGTAAGGCCATAAGTGAAATTGTATGTTGCAAATAAGAGCATGATTTAAAATCAATTTGGAGAGAATGTGATGAGCGTCCTCACTAAATATTTCAATAGCACTGACAGAGTCCATAATATTTCTTGATAATTGAATGAAATGAAGGCGAATTATGTGATGAGCTGGTGCTGAATCATGGGGCTATTCCATTTACTGCTTTGCTAAATGTTCCTCTTAAATATGACTGTAACACAGGAAAGAGATTTGACTTTTCTTTTTATGTTTTCTTTTCCAGCAGATGGTTCTTTAAAAGCAATACATTCCCATGGGATTTACTAATGGTGTATTAATTGAGAATGCTGATATGTAAGCTGCATGCCAATTTTCAATACTACATGGAAATGCCTCACTGATACTACAGAAACTGTTTCAAATTCTCCCTTTCAATATGACGCACCATATGAATAGCCAACACAAAGGTATCCTATAGCATAAGGATGGAAGTTTCTAAAACTAATTTTTATACTGCATCCGTATTGCCACTGCATTTCTTTCCCATGCAGTCCCATCAAATAATTATATTTATCCAAATTTGTTTCAACATGTTTCTTGTCATTTAATAAAAATTACTACTGGCATAAGTGCCTGTCTGATGACTTCCATCTTGTGGAAGATATAACTGTATGTCGTCCAATCCAACCAACTGATGGGTATGAAAGTTGTAATTATGTGTAATCAATACGAATGGACTATTCAATACATATAGAGAGAACTTGCAGAACAGCTGAAATGTCCTGCATAATGAGATGATGTTAATATTTGTAATCTCTTAGGGCATTTCGACTTAGACATGATTTTGGGGTGTATAAAAATGTCAGACTTTACAACCAGGTGTCTGGGGCCACTTAAAGTGTAAACTGCCAAGAAAAAATAGGACTTAAAATTTCTAATGAGGGTTGATAATTCATGGGTCAAAAAACCAACAACTTGGACAAGATGGCTTTGAGTGGGCTGACAACACAAACAACTAAAGAAAGAGGAAAGGAAAACTCACCCAAAGGTTACTCACCATTTCCCGGTGGTTCGGGTAGTATGCTTGGTCAATCAGAGGGAAACGTTCTTTGCCAATGCGACGTTGCAACTGGATGAGTTGGGCAAACTGAAATATGTTGTTGAAAGTGGACTTAAATATCAGGTTAATGTGCAAAATAATCATGCATCTTAATCTCAAGCAGCAAATATCAAAATCATTCCAATCTATCAAGTTTAAGGATTACTTGACTGAAAAGTTGTATATTTTTGAAAAGGAAAAGCTGAAGAGCAAAATGAGAATCTAGATATAATATTACCAATATTACTCTCTATAAAATGCGCTTAATTACTCATTACAATTACTGTAATTTTCCACTAAAATTTCTATTTCTAAATATTTCAATTGTATATCACTATATATATCTCACCACCCATGGCTTGTCTAGGAAGTTGTACAGTGAGTGTAGAGAGTTGACACTGGGAATCCCACCGTAGTGAAGACCTATAATCAGGTTTCTCCAGTCTTCATTAGCATCACGAACATGCTGTCGTATTAATACAAAGTCTGGTTTGAAAGACCTAGAGTAAAGAGTTCCATATAAATAAATAAACGTCTGAAATTCTTTTGTCCAACTTGATCAGTGGTGTATAATCTAATATATTATTAAGTTTGCTGTTATACATACATGGTATATTATGAAACTGAAAGTATGAAAGTTACCATAGGAACTGCTAATTAACTCAGGTTGGTATGAAAATTACCATAGGAACCACTAACTCAGTGATGTATTAATGTTACGATAGGCACCACTAACTCAGTGTGGTATGAAAGTTACCATAGGAACCACTAACTCAGTGTGGGATGAAAGTTACCATAGGAACCACTAACTTAGTGTGGTATGAAAGTTACCATAGGAACCACTAACTCAGTGTGG